TAAGGCAGACTCTGAGCCCTCTTCTCTCCAGACCTGTGGTCTTCTTAGACACCAGGACACAACCAGATCCCCTTGCTCACCTGCAAGTCATGGGCTTTCTGAGGCCATGCTTGTGGACCAACTGCAGACTTTATCCTCTGCCTAAGTTCCTACCCCTGGACACGGGCATTAGAGCTGGACATCTACCTCTCCTGCTCCCTACTCCCAAGTAGCTGAGCAAGATAAGGATGAGCAGACCGGGCTACTGGGCAAGCAGCACACCCAGCTGATGCCCAGCCACAGGGCCACAAAACCCGTCTTCCTCCTCTAGCTTCCTCCACTTGTCTGGTTTAGGGCAATCCAGCAAACATAAATGCACCACCCACCATATCACAGGGACTTTGCTGGACACTAGGGGCCCTGATGGTGCAATGGTTAAACGCTCAGCTGCTAACTGAAAGATTGGCAGTTCAAACCCACCCAGCAACTCTGCAGGAGAAAGACCTGGCTGTCTGCTCCCATAAAGATCACAGCCAAGAAGACCCTGTGAGGCAGTTACTCTGTCACATGGGGTCACTATGAGTTGAAAATCAATGCTATGAGTTGAAAATCGACTTGACGGCCTCTAACAACAGCAACGGGTGTCCACATGAAGCAAGGCAAGGCCCTGTGCGGGGGGAAAATAACAGATAACAAGACAGGAAAGAATAGAGAGAAAGACAAGTCAGTCTTGATGCTGCTTGGGTGCTCTGCCGTTCAATTCTTCATCCCTTCTCAGAACATTCTCAGAAACAATGCCTTCCCCCCTCCTTTGGGACTTTTTGTCCCGCATCTGGAAAAATCTTCCAGCTAGGGTCATGGCAGAGTCACGAAGCAGCTGAGGATATTTAAACAAACTCGGGGCTTCTTTTTTGGAGTCCCTGATGCCTGCTTATGTGTGCTTGTGTGAAGATGTCTGTTGGAGAACCAGAGTATTAAAACATCAAAGGGCATCATTTTTGGACAGTTTCTCTTGGCTCGTCTCCATGTGAGTGAGGAGAGGATCGTGGCCGAGGAGACACGGGACAGAGGAGTTTACTAAAGGGTTACACGTCTGAAATCAGAATTTCCCCGATATTTCATTGCTGCAAATGCTTTTGAGGCTCTTAATTCCAACAGCATTTCCTTTTCCTTCCTGAAAAACTTATTTCTGTCTTTGGCTTCAGCCCTCCACCCTCGGAAGGATTCAGCTGGAAAAGCTGGGTCCGATGTCAGCATTGTCTACCTTGTCTGAGTTTCTGTCTCCCCTCCACCCCACCCCCAGCATTCTCGGTTCTTCTTTTGGCCTTCCCCTTTTTCTGTTTCATTACGAATTTGAGAAAGTTGTGTTTTTGTCTTGCCAAGTGATCAGGGGTTCCTTTTGCGTGAGTAAATGCCACGTATTTTTAAACTCTTGCCATTTCCATATTTCGCACTCACGTCTCCCATGCAAATGCTAATTGTTTTTCTTCTTTTTATTCTCATGCATTTGTGCTTGAGTGTAGTAGACTATAGCGACTGGTGCCCTGACCCCCCTGGGGGTCACCTGTGGGCAGTTCTGGCCATGCCAATAACTTCCTTAGCATGTGGGGCAGGCCAGATGTCCCGAGGAATTAATGCTCCAAGAGGGTGGAGTTGGTGGATAAATGCCCTAGCTTCCTTGCCCCTTGGTAGGACAGTCTGAGGCATGTTCTACACTGTGTCTCAAAAGCTCCCAGTGGGATTGAGCCTAGTTGCCCTGCTCATTAATGCACTCTTCATTGGCTTTCATCTCTTCCGTTCTTTACTTCCCTACTCCCTGTTTCCTGGGTTCACGTCCCAAATAAACTGTTTGCACCTGAAAGCTGACCGCATCTACTTCTGAAGGAATCTAAATGGAGTCAATGCCTGACTGTAAAAACAGCATGTAGGCGGCATCTGACCTCCTGTAACTTCACAAGGAGGAAGCAGAATCAAGATCAACAGCCCAAGGCTGATTCCTGTGAGGTGGAAGTTTAGACACACCTCCTCTGTCCACTATCTTTACCAATTCTGACACCAACCATCCCTCCCAGGGTACTCTCTACTTCTCTGCTGGGTTCAATAATTCATTGCAATGGCCACACAGAACTCACAGACCATACTTACGATTATGGGTTTTATTAGTGAAGTAACAGGTTACAATTCAGGTTTAGGAATGCTCAGAATATAGTTCTTCCATCAGGACCCCCTCTTCCCAGCTGTGCTCACAGGCACACCTCTCTCTGGCCCTCGGCCTCTGCCTAGCCTGGGCAAGCGTTACAAAGCTCTTTTGGCCCCTCAGCCTCTGCCCTGCTCGAGCAAGTGTTATAAAGCTCTTTTAACTCTGCTGATAAGTGCCTCGAGGCATCTACTTGGCCAGTAAGCCTCCTGCCCAAAGGCACTCAGCTTTCTTACTCCATGGGCCAGGAAGCCCACTGCACCATCTCCTGCCAGTCTCTCTTGCCACTGTTTCTCTGCCACCACTTTTCACCATCTTCCGCGTTACAACTCTCTCTCGGTCTCCTGGTTCCAGGAGCTTCTCAGTGCAGGGATCCAGAGTCCAAAGACAAGCTCCTCTCTTGGCCCTTCTTCCTTGGTGGTGGTGAAATCTTCTCTTTCCTGCTCATTTTAAGCCTAGCAGAATGGCCAAACTGACCAGTGTCTTTGGTGGGCCATAATTACCTTATTTGCACAGTCCTGCGCAATCCTTTGGGTAGGAGTTACAAAACCATGGCAAGAAAGGCCACACAAAAGCGATCCATCACACCACAGTCACTCACACAATGACTCACTAGAGGATTGTTTATCCTCTTGTCCTTGTAGCTGTAGCTTTTATTTGAACCTCTGGCACCCAGGCCCGGAATACACCTGGTCATCTAGTTCACTTTCTGCTCCCCTGCCCTGGATCCAGCGCTGTATCCCCCTTCCTTACAGACCTTTCTTTGCATCGCTCCATTCCTAAACTTTGTATTTCAAAGTCACAAAATAGTGTTTTTGTCATTGTTATCATTGTTTGCCATCGAGTCGATTCCGACTCATAGCAACCCTATAGGACAGAGTAGAACTGCCCCATAGGATTTCCTAGGCTGTAATTTTTACAAATGCAGATCGCCAGGTATTTTCTCCTGCGGAGCCACTGGTGGCTCCGAACCTCAGACCTTCCGATTAGCAGCTGAGCTCTTAACTATTGTACCACCAGGGCTCCTGTGAAATAATCTAGTGATTGCCAACTCTATAAACCAAGACCCAATCTCTTGTGTGAATACATTTACTGGCTGGAGATGTTGTCCTAATTTAGGCAGGTGTACCGTGAAAGGCGAGATGAGGTGGGGATGATGTATAGGGTAGCATAATGTTTAAAATCCAGGTGGCCACTTCGAAGATGGGCCCCATCCCTTCCAAATTGGTTCTATTACATAGATAGCTTAAAATGGCTTCCCTGATAGTTTAACTGTTGCTGATGACAAAATCTCATGGCCCAGCATTGATCCCCAGAGAATGCTCAGATGATGTTTGCTCAGATGGGCCTGTAAAAAGACTTCCTTTGTCCGAGAATATGGCACCTCTGTGATAATTTTAGATGGTAAGTGGATGAACATATTTGGTGTTAATGTGCTTCATTGTTACCTCCTGTTTATGGCAAGTGATAGTGGTTTCCCTTGTGAATGCATTTATATCAAAGAAAATGAGTCAACTTAAAGAAGAATTCAGCGAGTACTTGTATACCGCACAAATTGTGAAATACTAAAATTTGGGAAACAGCGTCCCTGAATGTGGGTAAGGATCAGAGTCTTGTGCCAGGAGCATGAACATGCTTTGTCCTTTTTGTTAATGTCAGCCATTCTTTATGACCTTTCAAATTTTTCTTTGAATGAAGGGTGGGGATTTTCTTATTATGCAAACAGATACTTTTGGAAGCCAAAGCATGTTCTTGACTAGCCTGTATAAGCAAAGCTTTTGAAGTTGAGTGATCGCTAATTGCTTGACTAAATGAGTAACACAAAAACAGACCTTCAGACGGAGATTGAAATTCCAGGTATTTGCTCCCGGAGGCTGATATTGCTAGCTCCTGCCCGGCGGCATGTCCGTCAGGCGAGGAGCAGCTGTCTGGTGGGAGTGATTATTGATTTCCGAAGAACCGAGCCATAAATGAAGTAACGGAAAGCTTGGCGCCTCACTCCCAGTGCCCGCTCGCTGCTCCAGCTGACCTGCCACTGCAGGCAGGAACCCTCATTTACGGGAATGGATTTATTTTTACTTATCAGTGATGTATTTTTGATGTACTTGATTAAGTATTATGGGTTCAGCCCCAGGAAACACCACTGCAGTTTATAAATAGTGAATTCAGGGGTGTAAAACTTCCTGGAATTAGAGCCATATTTTTGTTTTTATGTGCCTCTGTGCATTTCCTTTTTTTTTTTTAAGACCAGCTTTTGTCCAAATATATCTACTTTTACTTCCAAAACACACTTTATTTGAATTTCTAGAAAGGTCTACTATGCCTTTTTCTCAAGCACCTAAATATATAAATTAATCCCAGATAACAGCTGTTCATTATATTCCTGATTTAAAACCTATGTCCCCCACCTGAAGCTCAACCTTTGAGGTCCATGTCACTTTTCAGGAAGCTCAATTTACAGCTTGGAATCGGGTTTTATTATTTGTCAATACGGCAACCGAGAGTCCCTGGATGGTGCAAACGGTTAATGTCCTAGGCTGTCAACCAAAAGGTGGGAAGTTCATGTCCACCCAGAGGTGCCTCGGAAGAAACGTCTGGTGATCTCCTTCTGAAAAATCAGCCATTAATACCCCTGTAGAGCACAGCTCTACTCCGAGACAGTGGTGTTACCATGAGACAGCTAGTATCGGTAGTGCAACCTAACAGAGATCCTACTTTTTGTTTCATTTCTTCACGCTTCTCACAATTCCTCTAGACCCAATGAAGGAGAGTTTTCCCACCATTTGACCTCTTCTCTCCCCACCCCCTTTGCAAATATCAACAGAAATGGAGATCTTCGCCTTGTTCAACAAACCGAAGAGCCAGCACAAGTGTCAGCAATACTATCCTGTCACCATTCCTCTCCGGGTCTCCAAGAATGGTCAGACGGTGAGCAGTTTGGACGCCAACTGGTTGGAGCACATGAGTGACCACTTCCGGAAAGGAAACGTGCTGGTGAACGCGGTCTTCTACCTTGGGATGGTGAATGGTATGGAATTCTCAGCTCGTGGGTGTCCCTTGTGAACTCTGCTTCTAATTAGTAGAATCATAGCCCACCTTCAGAGCCTACTCCATTCAGAAAGCTTTGTCGCTGATAAACACGGTGCATTTGATTTCTAATTAACACATCCTAAGGAACTTTCCATAAAGCCCAGGTCTTAGGCTGTATCAACCTCTCCAGGAGTCACCCAGGTGTCTTCCAGAATGACAGAGAAATGGGAGTGATTTGATTTCATCGATGGTAGCCTTAGTCTATGTTGCTTTTAAAAGCTTTTAAAAAGATTATTCCCTGGGTATGTTAATTACCCCCTGGGATCATGCCGCTCCCAAAGTGCAAATTGTTTGTAGACACTATTACAGTCTGAAGTAGCAGTAGCAGCACCTTGGAATTAACAGTAGAGAAATAAATTGAACAGCCTAGTTTCTGTTAGCTCTGCTGGGACACACACCGTTCTGTGTCTTGTGGCACCCACTGCTACCCCCATCCCCATAATGGGTTATCCCTGAGGGTTTGCTGCATGGAGTAGCACTATTGATGTCAGCTTTTTGACAGCAGTGGGAAAGTCTGCCCAAAGTGGGGAAATGTGTCACACAAAGAAAGGGTTTCAGTTAACACAAAGGCAAGTTCAGTCACTAGGGTGCGTCAAAGCTGGGAGGTAATTTGGGGAGCAGGCTGACTTGCCAGCATGTGTTGCTCCTGAGGGCTGCCTATCAGCGGGATTCCTGAGTAAGTGAAACATAACACCAAATGTGTTGATCCCAGCAAAACCTGGCAGGAGGCCTCAACAGCACTGCAGCTTGGTTGGTGAGTGGTTTTCTCTCCCAAGAAATAGCAGAGACTGGAAGGGAGTTTGGATTCTACATTATTTGCAACCTTTGAAATGCCAACAAACAACCTTAGAATAGAGACTGTATTCTTCATTCTGAACGCACACACTTCAAATGATTTGAAGCCTTAAAACATGATACAGCACAGTTAGGTCTTAATTTGGGATACAAGTTCCCTGTCTAAATATCAATATCTAATATTAGCATATGAATATAGTAGCAGCGGGATTTATATAGTGTAGTGGGCCATGACTATTTGTTGAATGGATGAAGACATAAGAAAGGATGTTAGCTCGTTAAGAATTGATCAAGAGCCACACTGTCCAATAGGACTTTCTGTGATGATGGAAATGTTCTATATCTGTGTTGGCCAGCGTGGTAGCCACTCGCCCCATGTGGCTCCTGAGCACTTGAAATGTGGTGAGCACACTGAGGAACTGAATTTTAAAATTTATTTAATTTTCATTAATTGAGATTTAAATAGCTGTATGTGGTTGGTGAGGGCAGTGGTGGTTCAGTGGCAGGATTCTCTCCTGTGCTGGAGACACCCTGTTTGGATCCCAGCCAGTGTACCTCGTGCACAGCCACCACTTGTCTGTCATTGGAGGCTTGCATGTTGCTGCGATGCTGAACAAGTTTCAGTGGATCTTCCAGACTGAGATAGACTAGGAAGCAAAGCCTGGCAATCTTCTTCCAAAAATCAGCGAATGAAAACATACAACATACAACATACTATCATACAACATACAACAGTACTATCCCGTCATGCGTGGGGTCGCCATGAGTCGGAGGCCAACTCAGTGGCAGCTAACAACAATAATGTGGATAGTGGCTACTGTATTGGATAGTGCAGTTCTAGAGGGTATGTTTCATTGATACAACTAATGAAAAAGTCAGTTCCCTGCTGGTATAGTGATCTCCATCTTCATGAGGAGGCCTTCCTGGGTGCTACACAGGTACCTGGAGCAAGGACTGTCGTGGTCTCTGTGGGATGCCCCATCAACACCAGTTGTGGTGCGTGGCTGGGGCAGGTGTTACAGCCTGATGGGTTGGTGCAGAGGAGGCCAAGGAGGGTGGAAGACTTCGCCTCCCTGCTTCCTGCAGGCTCCCCGGTTGCCCACCTTGGGCAGTGGTGACTCTTTTCCTGCCCCTTGTGGTGCACGCATAGAGGCTCTGTATGGCTATGTATAGTTTTACATTTCTCCCTTTGAAGCTGATGGTTGCCTTTACTAAAGTCTCAAAGATGTGCAGGGTGGCGCTGGAGTCAGCAGCTACACAGGCGGCCCCTGGTGATTTCCCCCCTTAGGAGAACTGGGACATCAAAAAGGAAATCTGCCCTTTGCCTCCGCTGCCCTATCTTGTCAGGGGCAAGCCATTTATTGTCTTGCTAACCATTATGGCAAGGAGCCCTAGTGGTGCAATGGTTAAGCATTCATCTGCTAACCAAAAGGCTGGCGATTTGAACTCACCAGCTGCTCTGCTGGAGAAAAGACCTGGTGATCTTCTTTTGTAAAGATTACAGCCTTGGAAACCCTACGGGGCAGTTCTACTCTGTCCTGTAGGGTCGCTGTGAGTTGGAATTGACTTGACAGCACACAACAGCCACCATTCTGGCTTTGGCAACTAAGGCTGAGTACTCTCCACTTCCCCTCTCCACTCTCCAGCCTCAACTCCAAAAACAAAAATAATTGATACAATTTTTTTCTTCAGATTACGGTTGAGTGTTTGAAATGCTATTATATCCTTCTTCAGCTTTAACCAAAAAATAAGCCCATTGCTGTTGAGTCAATTACAACTCATAGCGACCCTACAGGACAGAGTAGAACTGCCCAATAGGGTTTCCAAGGAGTAGCTGGTAGATTCAAACTGCTGGCCTTTTGGTTAGCAGCCAAACACTTAACCACTGCGCCACCAGAGCACCTCCTTAGCTGAGCTCTGTTAAATCAAGCCTTCCTGCCCTGAAGCCAGAACATGAGTTTTCCTCTGACAAGTGCAGCTGTGACGTCTTCTACCCGAGGCTGTGACATCTCTCTTCACAGCCAGCTGCCCATGTCTAGAGTTCCACCCCAGCTGTACAGCTCCATCTCAGAGAGGGCTGCAAAATCCTCCGATCAAAATTATTTTAAACTCACTCTAATTTTAAACAAGGTGTCCCTGGGTGGTGTAAATGGTTAACATGCTTGGCTGCTAACTGAAAGAGTGGAGGTTCAACTCTGCCCAGAGGCACCTCAGAAGAAAGGCCTGGTGATCTACTTCCAAAAAATCATGCACTGAAAACCCTATGAAGCACAGTTCTACTCTAACACACATAGGGTTGTCACGAGTCAGAAACTTTAAACATGATCTCACCCTGTGTGGCTTAGGAATAATGCTTAGTGGGCTGGGCGTTTCTGCTCTGGAAAAGCCAAAGGTTTCCATTTGCCAGGGATGAAATATGCATATGTACTTTTCCTAGAATTAAAAAAAAAAAGTCAAGAAAAAAAGAAGGCTAATCATAATCATACAAAGAACCCGTTTCTAATGAGATAATTAGTATCCTTACAAATAAACCTGACAGAGTTAGAAGCATACCTTAAAGTTGTTTGCCACCTGGAGAAAGCACTAATAATGACTCTTAAATGGAGATTTGTACTTCAAACTATTTTCCACAGAGTCATAAAACTCATGAGAACTTTGTCCCATAAACAAGGTAATGTTTTAGCCCACTCATCCAGATAAGACACCAGTTTCTGTTTTCTAGGCTTTACACCCCGTAACACGGAAAGACGTGTACGGTTCCCAAAGGATCGTGGGCTGAGGGAGGCTTTGCCCTTGGGCCCTGGCAAGCTGGAGACGCAGACAAAGGAGAATCGAAATGATGACAGTGGACATGTAGCAGTTACTATGTGTTGGTGCTGGTCTAAGCAATTCAAACATACGAGCTCATTGAATCCCCACAACAGCCCAGTGCAGTCGGTACTGCAGCTATCCTTGTGTTAAAGCTGAGGAAACTGAGGCACAGAGTCCTTGCTAAGGTTACCAGCAAGTGGCAAGAAAGCAGCAGGAAGAAAGGAGGGTGTGGGCAGGAAAAGGAGGATGAGGAGGTGCAGGAAAGGAGAAGAAAGTGGTGTCTATGTTGGTGAGAGGCGAGGTCCCCAGGAGGACCTTGGGTGACCCTTGCAGGGGTGGGGGGTGGGGCTCCAGAGTTACCCCTCAGGAGGTGGCAGGACCAGGATAGCCAGCCAGGAGTATGGACAAGTCCAGGGGCCGGACAGCAGAGTGGATGCTCAGAGACACCCCAGCAGATGAGAAGAAAGCCAGAGTCTGCTAAGAAGGTGGGAAAAGCCAGGAGGGGAGCCCTTCTGCTGGGCTGGCTGTTGAGGCAGTGGGGCAGTACTGGGATCCAGGGCTGGGCGTGAGGGGGAGCTGGGTGCCCACCATCTGAGGACCCAACTAGGAGGCTTCTGGGCCTGTAGAATCCCTGCTGTTATCACCACCCTCTGCTGCTGCCCTCAGCCTCCCTGGCTCTGCCCTGGTCCTGCCCTTGCCTTCCCCGTCCCAGCCCTGTCCTATTCTGTCCTCCTGCCTTCGTCCTTCCCTCGCCCTGCTCCCACCCTCTCCTCACCCGCAGGCCTTCCCCCTCTGGCAGTCCTTCCCACCCCAGCCCCCAACCTCTTCCTCTGTCCAGGCCTCCTCCTCAGCCCCCACCTGTGCTGAGCATAAACCCTCTTTGCCTGTGCCCACACCCAGCCCTTCTGCTTCATCTATATAATTTCTGCCTTTTTTAAAAGAAGCATCATCATACTTAACCAAATTTAATAATTCCTTAATATCATCTTTATCCAGTCCATATTCAGATATCTTCAGTTGTTTCCCAAAAATGTCCTTTACAGATTATCCAAACCCCAGTTCAACTGGCACCATGCTCCACACGTGGTCCCCACATCCATCACTGCTTTTTGACTGGGCTGACTAGCCTGTTATCCTGCAGAATGCTCTGCATTCTGTATCTGTCTGCTCAGCTCCCCATGGTGTTTATCTCGCCTCTGTATTTCCTATGAACTGGAAGTGGGTTCTAAAGCCCTGATCAATAAAGCATTGATGACTAGGATACATTACAGGTGATGTTTGTTCTCCATGTTGCATCACATCAGGAGACAGGTAATAATCACTTAGACGTCT